GTTACATTGCAAAACTGCACTGCAGTCCTAACATACAGTATAGTAGCATTGCAAAAACATTTTCTTGCAGGTTCTGCAGCCCTGGTGTCTTCATTGTTTCCATTCACAGTTCTAACCATCTTTAGACACAGATCTATTTATTATGTTTTATGTAATCTAATTTAATTTTAGTAAATACTTCAATTCTAAAGTAGTAGATCCTATTTCTTACTAAGATTTTCCCCAATCAATATCCCAGTTTTTACACTCTGCTAAGCACACAAACATTGGGTCAGCGGGATTTGTTATGCTGAACTTTAGCTGGTGCTGCAGCATTAGAACAATGCCCATTATATTACAGCTGAAAACTGTGTGTTTGCCCCAAAATAACCCTGTTTTACACCTTTTAAAAAATTAGCAAAGGACATCAGATTTTTAGGAAAGCAATCAATTGTGCAAAATTATCCCTAATTACATGTTCAGAAATTAATACCTTAAATATTGTTCGGGTTTTAAATGTATCACATGCTGCCAATGTGCACCTGAGAATTGAGAAAATCCTGAACTGGAATTTTAATTAGAGAAACTGGACTCTGAACTGGATCAAATCACACTATAATGACCTCACTGTGGCCTGTTTGACTGGGGCTTAATGGATTTCAGGCCAGCCGAATTCCAGATCCAGACGTTTTATAGCGAGTCAAACAAATGTGCTCAGCAAAAATAAATTATTGTGGAATGGAAGAGTCCGAGCATGACAAAAAGTATTTGAAGAGTGTGTACTCAGAGTTGTGTCAGTTTAAATTCAATGTCAGATGTTTTTCAGGTTAACAGCGCCACAGTTTTTCCAACAGTTGCACCTGAATTTTAAACGTCGTTTGTCTTTCCTCCATCAGTGTCCCAGCAAGACGTTTGGCAGCTTTGAGTCCACAAAGGGTTTCCCAGATGATGTGATCCAGTTTGCACGTCACCACCCTCTGATGTACAACCCCATCTACCCCATGGGCCGACGACCCGTCTTTGTTAGAACCAACGTGGATTACAGCTTCACACAGATCGCTGTGGACAGAGTCAACGCTGCAGATGGACAGTATGACGTCATGTTCATTGGCACAGGTTTAAGAATATTTCTTTTTATTTTAACTTGAGATTTACTTGTAACAATATTGAAATAATAATGAACATAATGCATGTGTCATTCCAGACAAAGGGACGGTGCTGAAGGTGATCAGTGTTCCCAAAGAGAGCTGGAACAATATGGAAGAACTTTTGCTAGAAGAGCTGGAAGTCTTCAAAGTATGAATAGCAAAAAATAAATAAATAAATAAAAAAGATTTTTATATGATTTCCTTTAAAGCACAAGTTGTGATTTTATTGCAATAGTGCCAGTGTATTTTAAAGTAGTAGAAAATAAAATGTTTGCTGCATCTTCTCTGTTTTTTCAGGATGCCTCATCTGTCATCAACATGCAGATATCCTCCAAACGTGTAAGTTTGCTTTCAAAATTCCCAGGAAAACATTTAGCTGATGTTCAAAACTCTAATGCAGGGCTATTCAAATGGCGGCCCACGGGCCACATCCGGCACGTGAGTGACCAAAGTTTGGCCCGCCATTTGGTTCATTCATCTCTTAAGCCTAACTCCCCCGGTGTTCTCTTTTAATTACTTCAAGTTCTTTTAGTTAGACAAAGACATGTTTGGTATCTGCAGAAATGACAGAATCCTGGATAGAAGCAGGTAAAAACCATGTCTATGAACATCCAAGACAATTAAAACTACAAGCAGATGAAAATAAAACTATAAAAGTGAAAATAAAATAGTTTTAAAAATTTTGGTATGTCAGAGATGTCAAAATAATATTTGTGATTAAATGCAGCAAAATAAACTATTTCAAAGGTAACAATCTTTGTAATACTTGTTTTGTTCACATAATGACTTTAATTTCCGGATATTTGGTCCCTGTGCTGTCGGCCTGCAGTAACTTTGGCCACCGGAGCAATTTAGTTAAATAGCCCTGCTCTAATGTATCGCTTAAATGCAATGAAATGCAGGTTAAAGTCCCCAAAAAGTCTGAAGATATGACAAAACCATTTAGTTAATAAACCAAAATTTGCAATACACAAAGTCTAAAACAGAATTTAAAAACTTGTGACATCAAGAAGAGTCAAACAGAGAGCAGAGAAACCAAAAAAAGATTTACACAGAGGCAGGATGATGTCTTACACCATGTAGGTGACAAAATTAGCAAGTCAGGAGAAAGTGTGAGGGAAGAGGAAATAAAACACAAAACAAGAGAACAGAACAACAAGCGAAACAAGAAGATCTTATCAAAACTAGATACAAAATTTTAAATAATGGAAAGAGGAGCAAAATGACCAAAACACTAAATCAAAATGATGTACACATATTTCCTCCAAATTTGAGTAAAGACATAAATTGTTCATCTTGGGTAAGTATATTTTTTAAGACTAGACTGAACCACAAAGGTTACAGAAAGAACGTTTAACTTCACCTGGAGGTGCCATAAATTTTCCAACTTGTCAAAGTCACAGAGAACTGCATGTTTAGATTTATGAGAAAGATAAAACCCAAAGCTGTTCTTACCTCTGATAAGCACACATTCCAGAAGTCCTCTTGTCAAGAGCTTCCCTCTGCTCTCTGCGTGCCTCCACAGCAACAGCTCTATGTCGGCTCGGACACGGGCATCGCTCAGGTCCCTCTTCATCGCTGCAACGTTTACGGGAAGGCTTGCGCCGAGTGTTGCCTGGCCCGAGACCCATACTGCGCCTGGGACGGAACGTCCTGTACTCGATACCTGCCAAACACAAAAAGGTTTGTGAGGAAATCAGATGACACATGTGTGCACAAGCAAATCTGAATCCTTCTAGACTAAATGAGGAAACTTTTTCAGGCGTTTTCGTCGGCAGGATGTGAGGAATGGAGATCCCAACACCCTTTGCTCTGGAGGTAAGGTTACTGGACTATAAGTACAGTGTGCTGTACAGATTAGAAATACTACAACCTGTCCCTGCACTGATTAACAGAAATCAGACATCTTAATATCCTCACTGAAAAACATCCAAACCACTCCCCACTGTCCTCCCAGACCACAACACAAGCATTCTGCCCTAACCCTGTCTTCCTGCCACACGACTAAATCAGGCTAATCGTTCAATCTGAAAGAGCTCCTGGGTAATACGATTACATCATGTGGCAGGCAAGCTGAGCTGAAGAAAACTCGTGAAGGTCAGAGTAATTGTCTCAGATGTGATTGGCCTGGCCCCAAAGTGCTGATCAGTCTGTTTGGCAGGATACACACTATTACACAATGTGAGCCATTGCTCCCACTTCATTCTTACTTTCTTTTGCGTAGTTTAGTCCAGGACTTATAATCATCTACTTTTTTAAAGTGTTCGTGTGAGCCCCTCGATCAACCATAGGGAACTGTCAAATAAATGGTGACAAAGATTTTATTGTTTTATGAAACAATGAGTCACAATTCTCTTGTGATGCTTGTTAAATATCCATCCATCCATCCATTTTCTGTACACGCTTCTTCCTTTTCAGGGTTGTGTGGGTCACTGGTGCCCATATCCAGCAGTCACAGTGCGAGGGGTGGGGTACACCCTGGACAGGTCGCAAGTCCATCGCAGCTTGTTAAATATTTGGGCATATTTTTTTTTAAATCTACCTTCCAGCCTTTTTTTAAAATCAGTATTTTATTTATTTATGTTCAAAGCAAGTAATAAAGAACTTCCAGGAAATCTTCAAAACATGTTTTGTGATAGAGTGGGGGGGCTATAAATTAAGAGGAGAGTTCAAATTTAGAAAACAAAGGGTGCGAACTGTGAAGAAAAGTATGTGTGTCTCTGTGTGTGGGGTGGATTTATGGAATGGGTTAAATGTAGCAATGTGAACATAGAAATCAGTTTAAAAAAAGATTTAAAAAATATTTTGAGTTGTTATTTGTTCGTTTTAAATAAGCTATTATTTAACACCCCAGTGTGAAATAATAGCTTATTTAACACTGGGGTGTTAAATAAGCTATTATTGTTAAGTTTTGCTGTGAATGTGATAGCTATGTAAGTGTATGTAAAATCAGAAGGTTCACAATAATAAAAATCAAGACTATTAATCTTTTTTTTAAGAGTAAAAAAGAAGAAAAATATAAGTCTTTACTTCAACCTACTCCTTTTCAAGACAGATGATCTTGTAAGCTGCCCACTACATAATATTCATGTATGTGTATATAGATATATACACATTTTTGTTTGTTTGTTTGTTTTATCTGTTTTGAAATAAAGATATTTTCATTCATTCATTCATTCATTCTGTCCGGTTCAGTCTTTAATGCACAAATACACTTCAGTTATCCTAAATATGTCTCTGCTACCCACTGCAGACCACCACAAGCACCGTGTTGCAGAGCGGAAACTGTATGGTGTTGAGGGTAGCAGCACTTTCCTGGAGTGTATCCCCAAATCCCTTCAGGCCAAAGTCACCTGGACCTATCAGAAACATCCTCAAAACCCACGTGAAGAGGTGAGAAAGACAGCACGAGGGAAGATGACTGATACATCTAGCAATGTTTTTATCCACGGTCAAAATACTGTGTCTTCAAGAAATATCAAATCGGTCTTGAAGTAACAAAAGAAAACAGTTTTTTTTCTGTTTTTTGTCAAACCAGCACAAACTACAAATCGGTATTTTGAAGATTTATAAGAGCCCTGCAGTCAAAATTTTCCAGTGTCAAAGAAATTTGTGTTATTTTAACACAAACATGAGTTTTAGTGGGACACAACCTGATCTATTTTGTTTCATTTTTGCTTAATAGTACAAAGAAATAGCGGTGAACAGTGCTCAGTGTTTTATTTATAATGCTTGTCTCCAGGTACGTCTTGATGAACGCCTCCTCCAGACAGACAGAGGCCTCCTAGTTCGCCGAGTCCTAAAGCGAGACAACGGAGTCTACCAGTGCCACGCTATGGAGCATGGATTCACCCAAACATTACTGGGCATCACGTTAGAAGTCGTACCTTCATCATCGTCCTCCATCTCCAATCTGCCCTCTGATTCCCCTGTCCGATTGGATCCCCGCAGCGGAGGCGGTTCCTCAGGAACCAATCAAAAGCTCTGGTACCGGGACTTCATGCAGCTGGTGGACCACCCAAACCTCAGCACCGTTGACCAGATTTGTGAGCAAGTATGGGCACGAAAGAATGCTGACAGTGACCAGGGGGCTAAGATTTACCCTGCTGCAAGAAAGGACGTGCTGCCTCTGGGTTCCGCTGTCCGGCCAGCGAATAAGAAGTGGAAGCACCTCCAGGAGATCAGAAAGGGGAGAAACCGCAGGACCCACGATGGGAAACCAAACCCTCGGGCGCCGCGCAGTGCAGGGGAGTAACGATGTGGAGAGAGAAAAGAGTGAAGGAGGAGAAGAGACTGAGAGACCAAGAACTCATGGAGGTGTTCACACATACAGACACACACACCCACACACACACATACACAGTACCTCCTGTATTGGATGCCACCACTACAAGGTCCACTGTTTCCTGAGTCCCCATCCCTCTGACCAGCTCCTGCATGTGCTGCCTTACAGCCCAAACCGATTCTGCACGACTTCCTTACACCATTTCACTAGAATAGTAGAAGCAAACACTCGGGAAACTTTACCCATTTAAAGACAGCTGCAAAACTTACATGCTTAGTGGGTCACCTTTTTTTCCAAGACTACACCAATCCAAAACAGTCCCCAAAAGTTTGGACGTGAAAGATGTTGATATTTGAAGATTTTACACCAGCGTGGCAGACTCAAGAGAGATATGACAACTGGAACATGTTAATACGGTATGGTCTCTAACTGGAATAAAAAACATGAATAAAACTACGACTATTTATGTTTAATCGTACCTAGCTGCACGAAAACCTTTTGGAAAACCTGGTTCATTGATGATCAGATCAACTTCCCATGGCACACATTTCCAATAATGCCACTTTTCACGTGTTGTTGATGTGGATTACACGATTCAGTCATAAATAGAAGCCAGCACCTGTGGATCAGTATGTTGCAAAACATAATTGGTTTGTAAGATCTAAAGCGATTTCCTTAAAGGCACATCAAGGCATGGCGCAAGAACAAAATCATTTCCAACAATGTTTGTGATCATAGTTAAATAGTCTGATTTCATTATGTTTATTTACTGGTTAAAACCACTAATGAGTGATTAGTGGAACATGTACTTGCATTCCACGATACAAGTAAGCATAAAAGTTTACAGTATAAGGTCAAATCCAGGAAAAACACAAATATGTATAAATGAAACCAAATTGAAAGACCTCAAACTATATGACAGTTCGATGGGGAATCTGCTTTTTTTAAAAAAAAAAAAAAAAGCTTTGACATGATCTAAAACTATAGTTCTAAAAAAAGCCTAAAATTTGCAATGTCCATTATTTTGTGCATTGATATGGAGAAATCATGAGGGTGTACACATTATTAAAGTAAGCAGGATCAGGAGGAAGAGGAAAGAGTATGACAACCTATGTTTCTGGGCTAGAGTACAGTATATATATATAAATTAGCATGATATTTATGAGTGAGACTGTTCTTTTTTTGTATTCAAAAGCGTACTTCGTTTTATTTTTCTGTTCTTGCATAAAGTGTTTGTGATAAATAAATATGCAAGTGATATGAAGTGTGTGACTTGGGACTCTTCGTTCAGCACAGTTAAATGCTGCACCTCTGTGCCACCCACAGTGCATTTCCACATTTGCAAAAAGGAAAGAAAAAAAATAAATCTCAAACACTGTTGTAATCACTCTTTGTATAGTGTTACAATCATTTAGATCATTGACTTTTGCTGCTTAGGGATTTCATCTCTACAAAGTGTACAGTTAGAACTATAAGGTCTTCCTTTTCTATGTCTTATTTTGCTCTCTGTAAAGAAACCTTGTTGGTTGTCTAACATGATGTGTTTAGTCTGCCCCCTAGTGTTTAATGTTTGTACGGGCTTGAATACCGAGCCTATCTGTGGTACGATACTTTAATATATCATAGTCTGTCTGCACAAAACAAAAAAAAAAAAAAACTGGTGGGTCTATTAAATGTGCATTTATGTTTTGCAGTCATGATGTTTGCGTATGACTTTTATGTTGAATATATTATCCATTTTGTGCTGCTCCTCCAGTTTCATGGTTTAAAGATAATCAGTGCATTTAAGAATTCAGAGACCCCAGCTGAAAGAAAGGCAGCACAAACTGGTTTTATGTGTGGACTTTAGATGTATAATATCATTGTCATTGTTATTTATATACCTTCTTTATAGATGTCTAATTAACTTTTTGAACTAAACTGAAGTTTATTGTCTGACTGAAGGGACACTTTACATTTTAACATCACAAAAAACAGCTTTCATATTAAATTACAAAACAATTTAAAATTAATTTCTAATGATCAGTGCATTTAAACCTCAAATCAAACCGAGTTGGGACTACTAAAATTAAGTCATTGTATTGATTATTTGTAATACTGCTTCATATTAAGATTGTTCCTGTGATGTCAAACTGAGTATCCCTTGTAAGCCAGCTGTTATTATTTTTTGTACTTAAATTTGCATGTCTAAGGTTTGTGACTAAAACATTTGGTGGGGGGTTGTAGGAAAGAGCGAGGTAAAGAAAGCACAATGTTGATATTATTATTA